CTACATACAGTCATTTCAAGGAAGCAAATGTACCATTACCATAAACTGAAAACAAAAATCTCACTGAAGTGAAGTCTATCTTTGGTTTATCTGGTATTGGCTTTTGGAGATGACATATTGTTATCTCTATCACTAGCTGCTCGTTGGAAGTCATCTTTGCCTACTGAAAGTTTTTGGTTTATGTACATTAATTCATTGTAATTCACTAGCTGTAATACTTGACATGGGATATAAAGATAATAAATTGATCTCTGGCCTCTGAATTTCTTAGCCATAATTGAAGAGGTTTTATTCACTATAAACATATAAAAAGAAAACAAACTATATTAATTTTTTGCTGATTATACTTTTTATAGTGCATCTTGTACTCACTCTTTCTTGGGAAAGCAAGGAAAAGACTTGCTTGAGATGGGAGTTTAGGGAATAATTTCTTTAATGAATAATTTCTTGGAATTATTGTACAGTTTTTCAGATTTCCTATAATTCTCCATTCTTTTCTCCAGGGTGGTATCTGAGTAAATAGTTTACAGTGACCTTGTGATTCTGGGATAAAGCGGTGTCTCCTGGGGACAGACTGGATGGATTCAGGGACATGTCTTGTCCTGGGCATCTGAGGTTGTCCCTAGTGGAGAACTGTGGCTGGACTAGCTTTAGTTAGCTCTTGGCCTAGTTGGGACCCCTGTGGCATTTCTTCCTACACCTAGAATCAGCCTTCACTGGTCCTACCAACTCTCTTAGGTGTGACTCAGAGGCCCACTTGTCTATCCTTGGGTTCATTGTTCCTTTGTTGCTATGGCAACACTTCTGTCAGGATTACCAGATGAATTTTCAGGCAATCTTAGAGTCTTGTCTTGGGCAAATTAGAAAACAGGGAATAAAAGGGAACCTTAGGGGCCAGCAAGAGTTCAGCAGAATAAGTGCCTGCTTAGGCAAGCACAGAGACCAGGGTTCCATCTCTGGTATGCTGAGCTGTACGAGTGTGGGTGTGGTGGCACACACCTATAATCCCAGCGCTCGGGAGGCTGAAAACAGGAGGACCACTATGAGTCCAAACTGTGTAGTGAGACCCTGCACAAAATACAATTAAAAAAGAAAAAGGTGGACCCTAACCAAATCAAGTTCTTTTCCTTTCCCCTCTCTTCTCCTCTCCTCCTCTCCTCTCCCCCCTACACTCCTCTCCCCACCCCTCTCTTCTCTTCTGTCTCTCTGTGTCTCTGTGTCTGTGTCTCTGTCAGTCAGTCAGTCTCTCTTTCTTCCCCCTTCCCCTCTACCTCCCCCACCCCCAGAAGCCCTATGTCACCTGTTGAGGGGACACCATGCAAGATAATCTCCCTGTGATTGTCTAGCAGGAAATGGAGCTGACATGCTTGTGCTTTTTGCTTGTCTCTTAACCTTTCTTATGTACCTTACCTTTAAGTACAGACCAAGAAAGGAGAGGACACATCTGGGAGCATTTGTTCCTCCTACCCTTAATTTTTTCTTAATCTCCAAATCAACTTAAGTGGAAGGGGTGAGTTTATCCCTTGATTTACTCTTAATAATTCCCCTGGATTATAGTTTCCTAGTTTTGTGGGTAGTATTTCACTTGTCTTTATGATTAAAATATATGAAAGTAAAAAATGGATACACCCTGAGACAATAATGTTAAGTGAAAGAAATCAGACACAGAAAATTAAATATTGCATGGTTTCTCTTATATGAGAAATCCAAATAAATAATTTAAAAAGAAAAATAAAAGATAGATGATAAGAAACATGGAGACAGGCTTTGCGAAAATGGGAAGATCTTCTTGTATAGGGGAGACAGGAAGGAGGGGAGAGGAAGGTGAAGTATAAAAGATCCAGATGCATCGGTTCTCCACAATGAGTGTATTTATTTATCCCAAACAAATATTAATGAAAGTAGAATATAGGAAGATGAAAGGAGAGAGAAATGGCCACCATAATTTAGGAATTCCTAAATGATTATACTTACCATGGAAACTGGTCATTCCAAATTCATTACTGAGTTAACAAAGAAGTTCTGATTGTTTGCTCCTAGTAAAGTGGTTGTTCTTTTGATTTGTTTCTGATTTATTTTGAAATAGAATATTAGTTCAGATTTTATATATATCCTGGAAGTTTATTTAAATGTATTTAGTACAAGGTCTAAGGGTCTCACTACACAGATCAGACTCATAGTGTTCTTCCTGGTTTCAGCCTCCCAAGCGCTGAGATTACAGGCATGTGTCATCACGCCCAGTCTCTATGCTGGAAGTTCTTGCTACTCAAAGTCTGGGCCATGGACCAACTGCATCCAACACTTAGGAGAAATTCAAAACCTCAAGTCCCTCCTTCCTCCACTGAATCCATACTTGCATTTTTTTCTCTTTTAAATATTTTCTTTCAAAATTTTATTTTGGTATAAAACATATTGGTATGTTTATAATACATACCAATCATAGTCATCATTGGAAGTTGATACATGCACTTAACACATTTTATTGCTTTTACTTTCCCTTCCCCACCCTTCCCTTCCCCACCCATCCATCTCTTGGTCCCTTTCCCATTTGCAATACATCTACTGCTCTGTTTCATATTTAAGTTTCATCTTGCTTTTTATGCTTTGTGGTTTTTGTATAAGAAAAAGAATTCAACATTTAAACTTGTATTTGATTTATGTCAATTAACATTGTGGTTTCAAGGCACATCCATGTTCCTAAAAATAACTAAAATTGTCCATCTTTGTGGCACAGTAGTGCTCCATTGTGAAGAAATACATTTCCTTTATCCATTCATCTGTTGATGGACATGCAGACCACTTTCAAGATTTAGAGTCTATGAGTTTTGTCACTGTAAACATGTAATATGATGTATTAAACTCTCTGGGGAGAATACATAGAAGGGGACTAGCTGGGTAAAATGGAATTTCTAGTTTTAGTCTTTTGAATAATCTTAACACTGATTTCCATAATAGTTGTACTAATTTATATTTCCACCAATGAAAATAGAGCAATTCCTTTCTCCCTGCAGCTCCACCAGCATTTATTATTAATGAATTTGATTTCTTGACAGTAGTCATTGCTTCTGGAGTGAGATGGAAGCTCTGTGTTGTTTTAATTTACACTTATCAAATGCCAAATATGTTAAACATCTTTCCATGTATTTGTTGGCCGTTTGGGGCTCTAGAAATAGCTCAGTGGTCTAAGTGCCTGCCTAGCAGGTGCAATGACCCAAGTTTGATCCCTAGTACCACAGCCCTGCTGGTCCAGAACCCTGGGCACATTGAGCCGGCCCCCAAAACTGGGTGTGGTGGCATACTCCTGTAATTTCAGTGCTGGGGAGGCTGAGATAGGAGGATCACTATGAGACTGAACTACGTAGCGAGATCCTGTACCAAATTAATTAATTAATTATTGGGCATTTGTACTTTTGAGAAGTATCTATTCATTTTAACTGTCCACTTTTTGATTGGGTCTTTTATTTTCAAGGAGTATAATGTTTTGATTTTTCCATATATTCTGGATATTAGTCCTCTGTCTGAAGAGTAGCTGATAAAACAATATTTCAATTCTGTAAAATGTCCCATAAGTATAAGTTTGAAAAACATTTTTTTTGCCACCATAGCCTTAAGGAAAGTTTTGACTACGTCAAATATACATATCTCTGGTATTCAGTAAACACTTATTATTTACTTTCACATTAGCCAGTGATAGTGTTTGACTTTGAATGCTCATGTTCTTAATCAAGATCTTTATAATTAAGATAAAGTCATTAAGTAGTTCTAGATCTAGTTTCCCTATCACCAGGCACACCTTAAATATTTTTGACAGATATATTATGTTTAAATTATGTTATTAAAGTTAGGCATTCATTTCTTTTGAAACCTGTCTAATGTATAGAGATAATAACAAAGAGATAATAAATACAAAACTCAGATGACAAATCTGAATTCAGACCTATGGCTCCTGCCTCATTAGTACTAATAGAGAGTTCGGTAATACTGTAGTATTTCTTTCAGGGGGGTTAGTTGATGGGGGCAGAGTCATAGCTTTTCGTCTGTACTTTCATTTTCTGATCATAGTGTTTTAGAAGAATCTAGGCTTTACTTATTCACCAGGCTTTCAATAGAGAATCACATTAATCCTTTTAAGCTCCTTATTCTAATGATTTATTTTGTTGAGAACCATAGTGATCCTCCTTTGAATTTTAATGATAGCTGGCTATTCAAAGATTCATTGTTTTGACTTCCTGTCCTTACCTTTGTTTCCTACATGTCTGTGGGGAACACCTGTCTAATACTGGATCTGCCACTGGTTCTCAGTGGCTTACCAGAGTCACTCAAGCCTATCTCTGAGTGTTAAGCTGAAATGCTGGCTACTCATCCATAAAAATAAATGTAGGATATATGTTCTCAAGATAGGCAGATAGACAGCAGAGGAGCAGATAAATGATTGAGTCATTTTCCAGTAGAAATGATATTTTGGATCTGACAGTATGTTGCTATCATTGTATAAAATTAGTGCAATTAGTACTCTTTATCATAAATCTATTGAGATGCAGTATTTATGGAAAATCTTATATATAAAAAAGCAGTTAAAAATTTGAAGGTGCTACATTTATCCAAAATTCTGGACCACGAAACTGTCGAGATCTCTGATCCTCCATTTCTCAATGTGTTAAATGGCAGTATTGTTTTCCAAGGACATAGTCATGGTCATTTCTGTTCAAGTGCTGCAAATCTTCAGAAAGAATTAGCAGGTGGACATAGCCATGCCATGTCTCAGATACAAGCATTGGAATTACATGTTATATTTTTAAAATCTAGGAGGTATCTGTGTGACATGGCCTTGAGTCCCTGTTTTACCTGCTGTGTAACTACACACAGAGAATTTTTCCCTTTTCCTTTTTATAGGTATCACTTAGGAACATCATGGGTTTTCAAGAATATATTATTCTAATATGAGATTTTTAACAACTACCCTGTATTTATGCATAATACATTTTGTGCTTTATCTTCAGGCTTCTGGACTTTGATTCAGACTATCAGGAGCTCTGGGATTGGCTGATTGACATGGAGTCCCTCGTGATGGACAGCCATGACCTGATGATGTCAGAGGAGCAGCAGCAGCATCTTTACAAGGTTAGAGCTACCATTCCTGCCTTTAACTTACTGTGGAAGATCTGATTAGCCTGACAAGTCTCTCTTTCTCTCTCTCTCAGGATATCTTTACTTTCATTGTGTGTATCATGGTGTCTGTTAGAATTCCCTTCCCTGTCCCCAAACTCATTTCCATCCCTTGTGTGCTGACAGGCTGCACCAACATCATAATTGCAAGAAAGTTCCCTTTATCACATTCTATTTGGTGTAATTTTATAGAAGGACAAAGATTTATCTTCAAGATGAATAGCAATAAATGAAACTGCATTAACAAATAGACTGGAGCAAAATGAAGGATAAATGGACTGGTAACATTTAACAAAATGTGTTTTGATTGGAGCCCTCAGGTAGAATCCACCCCTTAGATCTTCATAGAGAAAAAAGAAATTTGCCTTCTGCTTAGCTTTCTGCTACAAGGGTACTGGAATCATTCAATTTAATGTTTATTAGTGATACATAGAGAGACACTGTCATATTAAGTCAATACATTTTGTACAATTTAGGAAAACTGGCTTGGAACTCACATATTGATTGCAGACAATCCATCTGATGGCTACCTGTATTGCTCTCCATGTCTGCTAACTCACCCTTAGCCTAGTGTGTTTTACCAATGCTACTTAGTCTTGGTGGTTCTTACAAAATAACCATGTGACTGAAAAAAATGGCTGCCAGATTCACAATGCCTCAAAAAGCTGTCAGGGAGGTAAGAGGGACTTTCTACTGAAATATCAGACTGCAGTAAATCTTCCTCATTTAGGCAATTTTTATTGAAGTAATTCTGACAGTTGTCATCCTTGAATTGCTTTGAGCATATGGCATATTTCAAAGAGCAGATTGTGAATCATAAAAAATAAAATTAATAACTAACCACAGAATCAGCAACAGTATAATGACACAAAACAACTACTCTAGCTTTTTAAAATTTCTTGTAGTATAAGAAGTACATTCAAGGTCAAATAAAAGTTGTCTTCTTTCTTCCAATTTTACCATTTTAAATTGCCTTTAATAAATAATTTTAATTTTGCCTCCTCTAATGAGAGATGTTTATCGATCTAGTTGACCTTAAATTCCTTTAGGAATCATTTTACTTAAGATATAAGCACTCCAGGGACTCAGCAAATGGGGCTGTTTTACTTTATAAAGAATTCTGTCCAACACTGATCTAGGTTGTTGACTATTAGCTGGTTCCCGTATAGATAGCTGTTCACATTAACAACAAACCTATACAGTATATCATCTGGCATGATATATTAATAGAGCAGTGGTTTCAAGCTAATCTAACTAAAGGTAGATGATTTCATATTTCATGTCAAGTTCAAGAATCAGATATGAAAAATTCATACTTTCTTCTTAAGCTATTATCTCAGAATTTATTGCACTCATGATGCCAAATAACACTTCTTCTCTTCTATATGCATTTTGTGTTTTGCACATAAGCCACTATTTTTTCTGAAACACTGCTGTTCTTTTTCAAAATCACATTCATATAATTTACATAACAATTAATAGGAAATCATTGAACAAAAAGTGCAGTCTTCTTTTTCTGATGCTTTCCTTGTAAGCACTTCGCCTCAGAATTCCCATTTTGGCATCTTGAAGGCCATTATTCCACCCACTCAGTACTTCTGTGTTATAGTATTTTTCCAAACATTTTCCATACTGTGCTTTTTATTCATGACTCATGTCCTGTTATCATCCTTCTGCTTCTAGATGCTCAACAGTTAGACCAGCACTAACTTTACATTTAGCTTACAAGTAAAAGCTAAATGCAAAGTCTGAATTAACAAGTGAGGGCACATATCACAGGTCTGTAGGGTCCTTCTCTAGGTGAGCCCCCAAATTATTCAGAAGTCTAGAAATCTCCAAAGCAATCCTAAGGACACTGACTAAGGAGTCATTCAGAAAGGAGAGCGACTCCTGAATTAGAAAAACTGAGGAAAATTAATTTCAGGTCTTCTCCAAGAACCCCCAGGGATTCTCAGTTTAAGTCAGCATTTTCAATATCACATTCTTCTATTCTAATTTGCTTTTCCTGGAATCTGCTAAACTGATGGCTTGGGGAGATTTGTAGCCTATTGATCAGAAACCTTTGTAGAATAAAGCTTTCAGTTGGTTCACATGACTTCCTTGGCTTTAAAGACTACCTGAAATTTCTGTAATCATTTTTATCATTGTATTTGTTGTCCTGAAAAAAATATCAATATCTTATCAACATTCATGAAGAGCACTGTTGATGTTGGGGCAAGCAACTTTTCATTAGTTTGCAGGACCTTGCGCTACAGAATGTTTGCCATTTGTGTCATTGTGATGACTCAACAGGACCCAAATCCATTTCACAGCATTTTCAGTTCACCATAACCTATATATATATCATCTACATTTCTTAGAATGCATTATTAATACTAAGACAAATGCCTTGCACTTGTATTTTGTGCATGTGTGTTCTATATACAGTTGATATTGATCTAATAGTTGTTGAGTTACAAAATTAAGGATCAGAGAATGTAGCTCAGTGGTAGAGCACTTGCTTGGCATATATAAGGCCCTGAGCTCAATCTTAAGCATGCACGCATGCACACACACACACTCACACTTGAGGATGGAAATGGTGCTCATAATATCTAGCATAAATGAAAGGATGAGAGTGAAGCTTTCCAGAGATCTCCAGGTGAATGATGTAAAATCTCATGAAACTGCAGGCCAGGACCGAATCATCATTCTTGCTGCCACGGCATTTGAAACCTTTGTTCTTCTCTGTATGGATGGTTCTCTGTATTTCATCATTTAACTGCTTTCCTGACACAGATCATTATGCCTAGCCCCATATTTATGCATTTGTACAATCCTAAGTTGATCTCTGAGGTATATATTTGGAAATGTCAAATTAGAGAAAACCTAGTAAGATTTTCTAGTAGTCCAAGTGAGTGAAGCTGATTTACCATTTTCAATATTAAACACTACTTTCCTGACTCTATCTATTTTTATATTCTAGTCTCTGCTAGAAAATGACCTGGCATTACTTCCTGGATGTGGAACTTCCCTAGACTACACATTCAGCAGATCTTCACAGTAGTATACCTAATGTGTTATTTGTTTATCCAAACCAGCAAAATATACAGAGCATATAAAGGAAAAGAACTGCATTTAATTAAGAGAGAATACATTGACATGACCTGACCTAATTTATGGCAATAAGCTGTAAAGTCTATTTGCTGTTTAACCTATTTCTAGTTGTTTTTCAGATTGTTGGAGATGTAAGACTTTCTAACTAATGTTAGAGTACAATTTTCTGAGAGAAACCCCATTCTTAATGAAAATTAACCATTCCCTTAAAATATTCTTGGTCCTGCTTTAAGACAGTGAGCTGTATAATACTAGTATCTTCTCTCTCCACCTCTCCATAGAAAACTTCCGCACCTATTTGCTGATAAGCATTGCCAGGATCATCAGCCTAGAAAAGCAAACATCGTGCTTTCTCTTGCTTTCTTCCTCAAACTGAGAATCTCCTCCAAGGAGAATTTGCTCCCACTCTCTTACTTTCTTTCTCTTCATTCTTTCTACCTTCCTAAGTAGGACAGTTTAATTTGTCTAAAGTAACCACTGTGATTTTGAAAGTTCAGCTCCTATTTGGACTGGAGTTGCAAGCTAGAATTCATAATCACAAGGAGCTGTCACTCTGCTGGCCTGCATGTGCATTAACTATTAATGGAGAAATATTTAAAACCCACTCACAATGGAAAAGCTTCACTTTTTTCATTTCTATGGATCAAAAGTGGCATCATTCTTGGACTCAGGGAATCTCAGTCACCTCCACCCCCATCCTATAAATTTTATAGACTGAGTGACCTGAAAATATTTCAGCTCAAGCTGCTGCTGCTGCTGTACTGTCCTGCCCAGCAATCTCAGCTGACTTTGTAGTGCTTTAAAGGCAAGCACTGTCAGGATCTCCTTACCTGTGCATAAAGCACTGCCAATTCTCTGTTACTCACTGAACACAACTTGCAGAACTCCTGGTGATCCGGGGTTGATGTGAGATTCCAGAATGTAAGGGTTAGTTTAAGGACCAAATTCAGAAATTTTTGTCTGGTACTTATTGCTATAATTGAACATGAATTGCTTTCAGATAGCATGAAACTCTTTAAAACATCCCATGTATGGATGTGTTCCTTAATGAATGCCTTATCTGCTCCTTATGTATAAAATGTTAGTATGATTTCTAAATGGTTAAAAATAAGCTAGACATGGTGGTAGTACATGTGTGTAATCACAGTACTGGGGCAGTTAAGGCAAGAGGATGGCTGTGAGTTCTAGGCCACCCTGGACTACATAGAGAATTCAGAGCCAGCCTGAACTACAAAGTGAGACTGTGCCTGAAAAACAAACAGAAACAAAGAATAGTTAAGATTAACTTTCCCAGCTTAAAAATAATATGAGTACCAACTTCAACTAAGATATTTATACATCCAGGAAACTCACACTGATATTTTATATTTTATTTTAAGCTTCAGTTACACATCTAGTTCTGCATTATAAGGGGAAAATACAGGTTTTCTGTATTTTTCTCCATTGATGTAAGTGTTATTCAAAGATATTCTATATATAAAACAAAAAGGACCATTTTTTTCATAGCAAATTGTGTCAAACATATTAATTACATTTTTACCTTGCTGTAAATTTCAGTCTTAGGAAAGTAATAAAAATATTTTAAAAATATTTCAGGTACGGTGGCTCATTCCTGCAGTCCCACTACTTTAGTAGATGAGGCGTAAGGATTACCTGAGTCCAAGAGCTTAAAGCCAGCTTGGGCAATGTAACAAGATCCTAGCTCACAAAAATTTAAAAACATATAAATACATAATCAGAACTACAAAAACTATGCAGGGACTAAAGACCACTTCTATGAGAAGAATTACATGCCAGCACTTGAATTGTAAAGTCTTAAGCAGGATAGTTAATAAAGATGATCCTTATTTATTTAATTATTTACTTATTAGTTTCTTGGTGATAAAAGCAAGAAGTAATATGCTTAGTTGTGTAATTTACATTTTTCATGAGAAGAAGCATAATACTGCTTTTAAAGAAACTGATATTTATTATTTTGATATGAAAACATTTTCTTTAGAGTTTTTATATTTAAGGGCTTAGAATAACATGATTGAAAATCTGTACTACAGTATCTCTTATAAGTAAATTGGTAGCCATAATTCCTCTAGCAAGAGCACAAATTATTTTTCTGATTCCATTGGTAGGCAAAGTTTAGAGATTTTGAGCACAGCTCTCACCAAAGGTGATGGCTTTCAATGATAGTTTGGCCAAATGGGAAAAGTAGGGTATCAACATGATATGTTGGAGGGCCGGCCAAATAGCTCAGCAGATTAAAGCGCCTTCAAGCAGGCACAAGGGCCAGGAGTTCAATGCCCGGGTCTGCCGTGCCAGCCCTGCCCCTGGATTGCACTGAGATGGCAATTGAGATGGGACATGGTGGCATGCACCTATAATCCTAGCACTTGGGAGGCTCTAAACAGGTGGATCACTACGAGTCCAATCTAGTAGTGAGACCCAGAACACCCTGTAGACCTTTCCCTAGAAATACAAAAAAAAAAAAAAAACCCGTGATATGTTGGAAGAGAATATTAGAAAAACAGGAAAAATTAGTTAATTTAATCAAACAGAAAAAATAAAAATGAGTTAATAAAAGCAATGGGTAGATGGATAAACAGATTTTTAAAATGCTAAAAGTATAAATAAATAAAAAATTAAAGACTAAACAATATGAGAAAGACAATTTAGAAATAGCAAAGAAAAGGAAACTTTAAAGGAGCAAGGAAGGATGGGAAAATATTACTATACAGAATTTGGGTGTGAGTTAAAAAGTAAGCATCATTTTTTGGGTTTTTTTTTTTTTAGTATTAAATTTTTTTTAATGTATTTTGTGCAGGGCCTCACTACACAGCTCGGACTCGTAGTGATCCTCCTGTTTTCAAGCCTCCCAGCACTGGGATGGTAGGTGTGCCCCACTATGCCTGGACTCTGTTGCCTGCTCAGCATGTCCAGGGGCAGGGCTGGCATGGCATGTTGTGTGAGGAATCAAACCCTGGCCCCTGCACTTGCCTAGTCAAGCTCTTAGTCCGCTGAGCTGTCTCGCAGGCCCTAGCATTATGATTTTTAAAAGAAAAATATATAGAATGCAATTAGATATTCTGAGGAATAAGAAATATACTGTGGAGGAAGATCAGTGGGACATAACTGATTTATTTCATAACTATTGGTGGCTAAACAATGTTGTCATAATTATGAACTCATCATAGAAAACAGGTTGATCACACTATTCCTATATTTTATAAATTCACAAATTTCAACCATCTGGAATACATACCTTTCATTTTCTTCTGGATTATATTGACCGAAATTATTTCAGATGTGGCTAAATACACTTGTGACTGAACTTGAGCTCCTAAAAATGTAGTATTTGCCTGCTTTATAATTCAGGTCATAGTAGGTAGGCTTAACATAGAAAAAAATTCATTAATTTAACTATTTTTATAAGTTGGTTCATAAAAGAGAAACAAATATAAAAATTGCATTATGTTTAAGTAGGCCTTATTGTTTGAATTTCAGCACCAAGTTTTACACATTAACTCTGATTGTTCCAAATGAAATAAATTACTAGTTATTGAAGATGTCAGAGTAAAAATGTACCAGATATATTAGGCACAAGATTTAATGATTTTTTTTTACTTCTTTCCCAGTAGATTAATTGTATAACCTAATTATATGTTAGATTAAAACTTCATTAAGATAAGAAGAATATGCTTAAAATCATTATAATATTTGAAATAATATTATCTGGTCATTTTTTAAGTGTTCAGAGTAGCAAAAATCGAGGCTGTTTCTACTCTGGTCCAGAAATGAATTTTTGTTCCATTTTTGTTAAAATTCAAAATGTTTTTAGATTAACTGTGTTATTAATTTGATTTTAGATGAATCAATATTTGGTATGAAGACTTAAGGGTATTTTTTCTGGTTGGTTTCTTCATTATTATTATTTTTATATAAAGAGCAAAAAACCCATCCTGAGAATGTGTAGGAAAAGAAAAAGTAGATGATTGTGATTTTTGAACCATATATGAAACATTGTTCATGCTGGATGCTATACTTCCTACTCGAATCACCAGGGAAAGATATTAAAAGACCCGGATGCCAAAAGACAGTTGGCCCTGTCTGTGGAGGGGCAAGGAGAGCAAATCGCGCCAGCAGTTTTTGTGTCTTGCGAGTGAGCTACTGTCCGGAAGGTGCGTTGGCTCTCCGGGCTGGCTTCTGTGGCATTGTGCAGCTCTCTCTCTCCCCGGCCTGGCCAGCTCTGGCCTAGAGTGGATCAAACAAGCCGTGGGGAAAGTTCCCCTCATTTGCATCACTTCTAGACAGCCCTGTCGTACTCTTTGCTGACAGGAAATCACTGTCTTTGTCACCTTTTCTCAGGGCCCTCCTTTTGGCAGAGATGGGCCATGTGACCACGCTTAATCACAACAACGGGGCTGGCTCCGGACTCAATGACATATTTTCCTCAGCACTTCAGTAAAGGAGTCAGTAGGAAATGACTACATTCATTTTAGAGTGAAAGATAATTAAAACTTGAAGGAGTCATGCTCCAGTCTGTGGAATTATGATTCCAACTGAAGTTAGTTTATCAAAAACTTATGAAAATCGTTTGCCTTCTGCAAGTGTTTAAAAAATAAACTTTGAGTAGTAAGAATTGGGTATGTTAGAGGGTTCGGAAAGAAGGCAGAAAGAGAGGGTGTTTGGGTGGAGGGAGGAGAGAATGGAGGAGAAAAACAGAGAGGAAAATCATAGCAGGAATTAGCTCTGTTTGAAAAAGCAACTTAAATGGGCTGAACTTCAACACTTGGGACTGAGGGCCGGAGCATGTAAAATGCTTACTTAGATGATATGAATAGGACACTGGCAAACAAAAGCAGCAGTGTGCTCCTAGAAAACTGTGCTTAAAGGAGTTTCCTTGGCAACAGAAATGCAGTTCCAAAAGTAGACAGAACTTTCCTCAGAAAACATACTATTAATAACAACCTTCCGGAACAACTTGGAACAATTTGACGACTTGGCAATAATAATGCCAAGTGTTCTGCAAATTAATCTAACACATAACAGTTACATTTCTCTTGCCTGTGATTCCTCTGGACCCTGCCTAGGATGCCTTACTTTTCACTAATACAAAAGTAAAGAATAGTTTTAAATGCTATTATGGAAAGGAAACAAAAAGAAATACTATTGGCCCGTAATTATACTCAACCTTCAGGAATCTATCAAGAAATCTTCATTTGATGAGATGATTTTATTTCAATAAAAAGTATTATGTTTAATATCTCATTCCAACAAAGAAGCTTCTTCAAAAAAACTTGGGAAAGGGTTAACTGCCTGTGACGTGCTGCAATGGGAAGCACATCTGAGGATATTGATTATATAAATGGGATACTTTGCTAAATATGTGTTAAGTGTTATTTTTGAAAGCATCATCATTTCTTGTCAGGCCAGAGAATAAACTAATCTTTGGTCTATTTGGCCAATGGGAATCATTTGAATTCTCCTGAAGGCTATCCATTTGCCAGCCAAAGAGTGCTCCCCTACTCTGACCTTTCCTGAATCCTTGGATCTAAAGGTTAAAAGTAATCAATATCTCATTGTGCTTCTTGGCTTCAAGGTAATAAGTAATAACCATCATGTTAAAATCCAAATGATTACAAATTGCATTGAAATGAGTTGACCGGTTAAGGAGATTTTATTAATTGCAATCAGGATAATCATTCAAGTTTGCTAGAAAAAGTTTAGATTAAATTGAAAAAAAAATTCATCCTTTAACTTTCTGAAAATTTTTTTTTCTTAAATATGGAGCACTTCATGAATTTGTGTGCCATCCTTGTGCAGGGACCATGCTAATCTTCCTGTGTCACTCCAATTTTAGTATATGTGCTGCTGAAAATTTTTAATTAAGTAGGAATGTGCACTTTTTATTCCTATGTTAAGTTGAGAGCTTTGGATTTAAACCTAGATATTTGTAGATTCTCATTTGAACTCCACACGATAAGTTAAAGCAGCACTTTAATTTCTAAGAAGAAAGAGCATTTGGTTCACTGTCTTCTTTGGCTTCTGAAGCACTCAATACTACAAATGTATTTCAAGTCAGTGACTTAATGTAAATGTCCCTCACATACTTCATAGCATTCTTTATTTTTATTATTATTTTTAATGTATTTGGTTCTTACAGGGTTTCACTATGCAGCTCGGACTCATAATGATCCTTCTGTATTCAGTCTCCCCAGTGCTGGGATTACAGGCGTGTGCCACTATACTGGGACTCTGGCCAGCTCAGTGTGCGCTGAGGGTGGGGCTGGCATTGCATATGGTGCTCGGGATCAAATCATGGTCCCTGCGCTTGCCTAAGCAGGCACTTTAGTCCACTGATCTATCTCGCCAGCCCCCATTTAAAAAAAAATGATATAGATGTAATTGGTTCAGGGTCTTGCAGTACCAGGGACTGAACACAGAATTCTTTATTTTTAAAGAACAGGCTAGAAAAAAGTTATACAATGTATGATTAAACTTTACAATTTTGATATAAATTTGGAATTATTTATTTTGTTTTAAAAGGAGTACCATACCAAAGTTTAAAGATGAAAACCAAGTATTTTGATTGACAATACGGTATAGGAGTAAAAAGCATAAATACTACATTTAGTGTTCCATGTAACTATATCACAAAAACATTGATTAATATAACTATAAACTTAAGGAAGTATATTAAATATGTATGGTCTTGAGCCCAAATATTTTATATTTATTATTCATCCTAGTTTTATAATATATTAGAATATCATATACGTTGTTCTAAAGCAGGACTCTATGACTAGAAATTGGAAAAGTCCTAGTACCTATTCACAGTAGATTTTAAGCATTGAAGAGATAAGCTTAATCATAGTGCTTTCATATATAAATTCATCAATTATTTTTTGGTTCTGATCTGATAACTACCCTAACTGTAGAAATAAGTAAATCAGTAGATTGTAATATCTAAAGGATTTCAGTTTTGAATCATCTCACCTATTCCCATTATTAAATATCTGTGCTTCCTTAAATCTTACCCTTAAGATTCATTTCTTTGGGGTAAAAAGAATACACTGTATTGAACAATATTCTGTGGAAGCATGGTGATGTTGGTGAGTTGTATTGGATTAAATGCCAATCTTAGCACTTAAATTAGGTGTGTGGGTACTTTCTAGGGCAAGTAGTTTCTGGGCTGGCACTTATGCCATTGAGCTGTCTCCCTGGTCCCCAGAAAGTAGTTTCTGACAAAAAAATAAAGCAAAGGAAATAAGAACAAATATTGTCTACTTAAGCATTTTATGAAAAGGAGGATGTTTTCATGCATATGCATTTGTGAGTGTGTGTGTGTGTGTGTGTGTGTGTGTGTGTGTGTATACTATCAGACAAGAGTAGGATGGAGATAGAAATTAATATTGGTTAAATCTTACTATTTGATTATACCAAGGACTACTCACCTTGTCCTAGTTAATATTTGTGGCCGGCTCAGCCTGCCCTGGCGCAAGGCTAGTGTGGCATGTGGTACCAGGGATTGGACCGCAGTCCATGTGCTTTCCTAAACTTGCCTATACATGTGCTTTAGACAGCTGAACTATATCTCACCAGCCCCTAGTTAACATTTAGAATGATCCTGTTTTCCCTATTTCACAAACTCTGAGCCTAAACCACAGAGAAGTTAAATGACTAGCCTAAAAGCACTAGTTTCTCAGTCATGATGCTGTAGTGGCTAACAGTGGACTGTTTGTTATTATTGAATGCTCTTCAAGGTTCAGCATTACTGGAAGGCTATAGTGAAATAACAAAACTCTCCAAATCTGAGTCTTAAAGCTACAAAGATTTATTTCTCGTGCTTCTTACATGTCCATAATAGATTGACTAATGGCCCTGCTTAGCATTACCTTCACTCCATGACTCAGACTTACAAAGTAGCTACCTTCTTAAATAGTTTACTTACTATTCCAAAGAGTAAAAGGAACTCAGGAAGATCTCATGCTGACCATTAAATCTAACACCTAGAGGAGACACGTTCCACTTCTACTCAAAATTGTTGACCAGAACTAATCATGTGGCCCCAAGCAATTTCAGGGAATATGGGAAGTGAAGTTCTATCATGCGCTTTCGAGGTAGACAGAAATATTTCTTCCAGTAACTATCACAAGAGCTAAGTAAATGAGTCCAGTTTTGAACCCAATATGGATAAGCCTAACACCCATAGTCTTTCCTTCATGTTCTTTGCCTACCCGCTGCGACCCCATATTGTCTTTTCTTAAACAGGTAAAATTAATGTAAGAGTATTTTTCCACACCTTACATGAGCTTTTTGTGATAACATAGAAAGAAGGGCCTCATGTTATGTGATACATTTATAAAGACAACATGATGCACTTTGGTTGGCTCTTTCAGGGTCATCAGGGTGTCCTGGGAAAGCTCTCAAACTTTCTTAAGCACCTCACCACACTGGTGGTGGAAATGTTGCCTGGGGAAATGTTGCCGTGTTGATTCTCACAGGAGTCTCCTCTATTCTTTCAGATTCAGGAAAGCTGAAAATATTTATGCTTTTTTGTGTGGGGAGATGCACTAAAGGCAGAGTTGCCCTAAGAAGTTGCTGAATAAGAGTTCCCTTGGAGAGATACTCTGTAGGAATATCATTTGCTGAAAAACCATCTGCCAGTCCTGTTAAGGAGACAGTTTCACTTCTCAGAAGCAAGGGCATCCCTAAGCATATTTTTAATAATATAGCAGTTCATGAAGCTCATACATTCTTAAACTAGGTATTTCTGTGACACTCTATCCCTAATGAGGCACACTGGGGTGAGCTAACAGAATAGAGTGGTGATCCTGCTGAACCTTAATTCATCTACATAAGATAAAATACCTGTGTGTGTGTGTGTGTGTGTGTGTGTGTGTGTGTGTGTGTGTGTAGGAAGAGAGAGAGAGAGGGACAAGGAGACAGAGAGGAAGAGGGAGAGGAAGAGGAAGAGAGAGACACAGAGAGAGAGAGAGAGAGACAGAGAAAGACAGAGACAGAGAGACAGAGAATAGAGAGACAGAGAGACAGAGACAGAGACAGAGAGACAGAGACAGAGAAAGAGATAAAGAGAGAGATTTGTGTAGTTAGGAAGGTGCCAACCAGGATATTACCCTTATACCCTTTTTTGTGATGTCAATTTCAGTTTTTACCTCTAAGAAAAGAGGTCTAGCCTTTCTCCAAAGGATCTATATACACTCCTGAAACTCATCTGAACTATTTCATCTACCTCCCTAGTCATTGATCCCAAATGTTCATAAACATTTGCATGAAGAAAATTTATTACTTTTATCAACTTTGTCATTTTAGCTATTGAAAACCAAGAATTTTGTGGAAGTATACACACACATGTTTATGTATACACATGACATGTGTTCATATATGTGCACAAAGTATTAACTTGTTTCATCTTTTAAGAACATTTTCATTGGAATTGAATTTGGATGAAGCTGGGTTCCTTGGACCAGATATGGTGGTAGTCCCAAGACGCTGAAATCATGCACATATAAATAACTATGAAAAATTCCTTCATATATGCCAAGTTTCAGTCTGGAGCACATTTCTGCTATAAATCTTGGCATACTGGATTTTTCTAGCATCATTACAATAGTGCTACCTCTTTCAATATTTGCAAGTCCCTCTCTGAGAAACACCTCCTTCATAATAATAAAGCTACTGGTAATTTTTTATTAGTTAAATATATGTATTTTTAAATAAAGATGATAAACTCAGACTTTGCAAGGCATATTTGAGAATGAATGATTATTCGATTCCACATTTCAAGAGGACAAATCTCATGTTTGTGTTGTTTACTGATAATATCTCCAATGCCTAGTTCAATGCCTGATACATAATAGAAAACCAACAAGTCTATTTTGAAAATCATATTTCCAATAAGGCTTATTTAATAATTAAGCTCTTGAGAAGAGCTATGCCAGAATTCTATTGCTTTTCAAAAACAGGTTTTATTTTCATACATTTGTACATTCTGAATATGTAAGTCTATGAAATGAAACCAAATCTCTCTCTTTTTTGATAAACCTAACTACAGTAAGACCAATTCTTAATACTCAAAATGCTAAAGTTTGGCCAGGTTGATACCAGCATGAAATAAAGAGTGGTATGAAAAGAAAAATAGACAGAAGATTAGGACACAGACACTCATGTCTGATGTATAAATATACAACTCATTGTCATAACTCTATGGGTAATCTCTAACCTCTAAAACTGTAACAGTCTGTTATGTTCTTGAATTTTAGACATGTGTCAGTATGATCACATATGAGAATAATATTTAGAATACAAACATGACACTTAAAAATCAAACAATAGGTGTAGGTGAATATGGACACTCATTAAATTAGTAGATCTTTGGGCATCTACTAAAAATATAATTAGGAAATGGATGAGAAAAATGGGGTATTTGGACTCAATCTAGCTCTTTTTTTTAAATTTAGGACAAGGTCTACAGGGTCTACAGGGTCTCACCTTGTAGGTCAGACTCATAGTGATCCTCCTGTTTACAGCCTCCCAAGTGCTGAGGTTACAGGTGCACACTACCAAGCCCAGTCTCAATCGCGTCTCAGCACGCCCTGTGGGCCAGGCTGGCACAGCAGGCCCAGAGTGAACTCCTGGATTAATCCACTGAGCTATTGGCTGGCCCTCAGTCTAGTTCTTGAATCCAGGTCACTCCTGATGTAAGTGTGGGGTGGGCAGGAGTCTAAAAGAGGGGCCCATCTTTTCAAAGCAAATCAAAATTTGAAAACTTAAACATTAAATGTCCCTGCTTTAATGCCAGAAAAGGGCTGAAACACGCTTTTAGAACTTTATAGCATTTTTTTCACTTAAAAATGTTTA